CAAAAATGGATTTAATGGAAGCAGCTGAATAGAAGATTAGTGTACCAGGAGATAAATTAGTAAGAAATATCCAGGCTGAATTATGGTAAGAATAAAGAATGAAAAATACAGAAGTTTATAAGAAACGTAGAATATGATGAAAAGACCTAACATATTTCTAATTGTCATCTCAGATAGGGAGGAGAAAAAGAATTGGGCAGAAGCAATATTTAAAGAAGTAATAATCCGGAATTTTCTAAAGAATTGGTTGAAGACATCAAACCAATGGGTTGTGAAGTGCTTCAAATTAAGCAGAAAAAATACAAAGGAATGCACATCTAGGCATACTGGAGTAAAACAATTTAAAATTAAAGGAAAAGAAAATCTTAAAAGCATCTAGAGAAGAAAAACAGAACTATTGTTTTCAAATGAACAGTAAGTCTGACAGCCAACTTTCTCCATAGAATGATGGAAGCCAGAAGATAATGGAATGATATCTTTACAGTACTAAATGAAAATTCTCATTTTAAGATGCTATGAGCCAACCTAGAATTCTATATTCAGAAAAAAATAGCCTTCAAAACTGGAAACAAAATTAAGACATTTAAAGACAAATAAAACAGGTTTTGTAACCAATATACTCACACACAAAAAAAAAAATCCCAAAGAGGGTTTCAAATGGGTATGCAGAAATTCAAAAAAAGAATAAAAAGCAATTGAAAGGTTAAATGTGTGGATAATTATAAATCATATTGGATATATGAAACAATAATAGTATTTTGCAGAGTTTAAAATCTACACAGAATCAAAATAAATGACAATAATGCAAATGTAGGAGAAGCAACTGGAATATTATAAATATTGAAAGTATTATAAGGTCCTATGATTGTTGAGAAGTAGCCAAATACTAAATTATATTAGAGTCTATATGGTGAATGATGTAATCTTATTATACATACTAAAATAACAGTAAAAGGCTATATAAATAGCAGGCAATTACAGGGTGCAATGGAATAATACAAAATATTTAATTGATTCAAAAGAAGGTGAAGTGGAAGGAAAATATTACAGGAAACATTGAATAAATAAATGCATAAGCAAATTACAAGATTAATATTTAAACCCAAATAAATAAGTAATTACATTAATTGTCATAGGGCTAGATACTCCAAAGAATAGTGGAGAAATACAGGTGCTTAATATGGAAAACTATTAGTATTTCTTTTTTTATTATTTTTTATTGTTATGTTAATCACCATACATTACATCATTAGTTTTTGATGTAGTGTTCCATGATTCATTGTTTGTGCGTAACACCCAGTGCTCCACGCAGAACGTGCCCTCTTTAATACCACTATTAGTATTTCTAAGAATGGTCCACTGCAACTGTAGTTGACCTCAGAGATGGGTCCAGGGTTTATGAAACAGCATCAACAACATTTGGTACATCTGGGGCGCTCAGTTAAGCATCTGACTTTGGCTCATGATCCCAGGGTTCGAGGATGGAGCCCCGCGCCAGGCTCTCTGCTCAGCAGGGAGCCTGTTTCTCCCTCTCCTTCCACCCCTCCTCCCCCACATGTGTTCTCTCTCTCTCTCTCTCTTGCTCTCTCTATCAAACAAATAAAATATTTTTTAAAAGACAAAAAAAACAACATTTGGTACATTAGCAAGTCCACTCTTTGTTATATATATCCATGTGTGTACCAAAGAAATGTATATGTGCAGTAAAGACATGCACAAGAATGTTCATGAGATAAAATCTGGAAACAACCCAAATAGCTATAAATACTAGAGTGGATAAGTGAATTGTGGAATAGTCATATGGTAAAACACTATACAGTGAAGAGAACAAATTATAGCTACACCCAATAATATAGTTAAATCTCTCAGATAATATTTGACTAAAAAAGCCAGATACAAGGATATATATGATTTATTTCAATGAATTTCAAAAAAAAAACTGGCCAAACTAATCAATTGAAATATGTCAGAATAATGATTTGGGGAGAAAGAATAGTGACTGAGAGGGGACATCAGCTAAGATATTAGTAATGAATGATTTTTATTTCAGTAGTAGTTTTGTATGTTAATTTTGCTAAGAATTCACAACCCTAGCTATACACTAAAGATTCATGAATTTTTCAGTATGCATATTATACTTAATATGAAGCTTATTAAAACAAGAATCATTCACATAGGAAGGTTAATATATGGTAGGGCATTTCAATCACTCTTATTCTTTCAGTAATTATTTATGGAGCACCTATCATAAACTAATTAGCACTATAGCATTAAGAAACAAGTATAAATACTGGCTCAGGCAGTTTTATTTTTGTGAACTTTGCAAATAAGTTCTCTGAACCTTATCTTCTGTAAAAAGAAGCAGATTGTGCCTAATGAGCTCTACAGTCTCCTCCTATTTTAAGATGCTACAAGTAAGTAATATTAAAAATCTGGGGGCCCCTGGGTGGTTCAGTCAAACATCAACTCTTGATTTCAGCTCAGGTCATGATCTCAGGGTCACAAGATGGAGCCCCGCATTGGTCTCCATGCTGGGTGTGGAGCCTGATTAAGATTCTCTCTCTCCCTCTCCCTCGCCCCTCCCCTCTGCTTGTGTGCATACACACTCTCTCTCTTTAAAAAAAAAAAAAAAGAATCTGTAATGGTAGTTTTATTTTATCATTAGCTACAGGCTGAAGGTGTCTTTGTCCACCACTACAAAAACACTCTGCTCTTTGCCCTTCTTCAAGGGAATAGGAAAAAAGCCATTTCCAGTGTCTTTGCTCTTCTTTCTGAAAAACTGGCCAAGTATCTGTGCTTCTTTTTATCCTGAGAATCACTGGTTCAGGCTTGTCACTGTTTCCATACTGCAGATAGTCAGTGGGTCGTCAAAGATATATATGCTCACTGAAAAGAATGTACTCAACATATGTTATTCTTTCCCCTTTGTGTAACTAAGAAATAAGCAAACTGATTTAATTTTAACTTTCAATGGGATTTAGCCTCTGAGTTAAGACCATAGCTATTAAGCTTAGTCCAAAATTAAAAATGTGTTATTGGTCTGTGAATTAAACCAGTGAGATAAATGAAACTGCCTTTATAAATGACTGTTCTAGTATTCTCACTTGTGATTCTGTATCTCATGATATGCATCTGCAGCCAGATAAGCACAACAGCATGTGTTGTACACATTCAAAACGATGGTTCAACAGAAGAGGAGACTTCTATAGGTCTGTGGTGCCAGACTTCCACATAGATAAAATAGTGAACTTCTTACATAGGACAGCACCCTAAGAGAAGGTGTAGGAGTAGAAGGTAGTCACTGACATTGTAGTCCATGGGGAGGAGATACCCGATAATCCTGGTCCGTAGGTTGGCCCCACTAAGAGTGGAACATTGCCATAGCATCATCAGGGTGAAGCTAAAGAAGTAATACTGAGTCTGGATCTCTCTGACCATTAGCAGCTCCCAGCTGTTCCACGCAGAGTCCACACACAAGATGGGAAGGTCAATCTCCCCTGGGAACAATACCAGGTCAATCTCAGGCCATACATGATTTGAGGTCTTCTAAAAAACTGCTAGCTAGTGTCTCCCTCTGAAACAAAGGTAATATATACTTACTGCCAATTTTAAAAGATTTGAGTTCCCTAAACTCGGGATTCCTCTCCTGTAACCAATCTACTATATGTGCAGATATTACCTAACCCTCTTTATATTGCCCTGAGGGAACTGGAGCTTAAGAAACTGGTGCAAGAAAATGTTGGTATTCTGACCACCACCATTGCTGTGAGTAATAAAATCCTTTATCTCTGACCCAGGAATTTTGTGTCTTTTAACAGTATATATGAAACTATAGCACCTTGCAAGGAGGGTAAAATCTGAGACACACAATTCTTGATAATTCCTAAGGGAAGTCTCTTGAAGTGCCTGTAGTTGGGATCCATTTCACCCTCCTAGGCAATAATAATAATAATAATAATAATAATAATAATAATAAAAGAAGCTACTACATTTTAAACATTTATTATATGACAGGTTGGTGGCTGTGTTTTTGGCAGTGGTGGTTGTTGCATGGATATTCTCAGTTGGTAAGGTGAATTATCTGATTAATTTCACTAGTGAACAAGACAAGATAGAACCTGATAAACAATAGAAGAGAGGTCAAATTAACTGTTTTGGGGAGTTTTGATAAAATAACAATCACTTATAGTTGAATAATTACTGTCAGGTCCTACACTGATCATATTATATATTATATATTTTTGTATAAGAACTTGTTTGATCTTCACAGAAACCTCATGAGGTAGGTACTATCATTGTTGCCATTTTAAGCTTGTGGAAACTGAGACTTGGTTAAATGGCTAACCAAGGTCATACAGATTCTAAGTGACAAAGATCTGACAAATGTCAACTTTATCAAGGTTGATGTAACTTACTTATTATTAGCCATTAATAATAAGTAAGATGTTCAAATAATTGACTACTCTCATTTTGACTAGCTCGTGTTTACTGCTACATTTAAATTTTGCATCCAAGGCAAGTCCCTCACTTCCCTTGTTGTAGTCTCATCCTTATATATAATTACCATTTAATAAATATTTGTTTCCTGAATAGATAAATGTATGAACAGCCTTGATACATTGGTTGCATTGGCTGGCTCAATAAATAATTGCTACTGAATGAATGGATGAATGAATATTTACTGAGTGTCAGGCATTGAGATAGAAACTTTTTGTACTTTGTCTAGTCTCTTAGCCACACTCCTAAGCAACCCACTATACAGGTACATTTTTAAAAAGAAGGGGACCTGATCAAGGTTAACATGAGTGATAAGTTGATATCATGTATAATCTGATATGATGTGAATAAAAAAGGTCACATCACTTCTGTAGTATTCTTCCACCAAATCTTTAACTGCAATTCAATCATGGAAATCATCAGCTAAATTTCAAATTGGCCATTTTACAAATTACCCTGTTCAGTCAGTACTCTTCAAAAGTGTCTGTCATAGCTCCTCCGCGGGCTAGCGCTCAGGTGGTGGCAGGATCCACTTGCTCCGGTGCCTCCCGCGCCGGGCCCCACGCTGCGCCCCAGCCCCAGCGCCAGCATGGGCGGCGCCCGGGCCCTGGGCTGGGTGGTGGCGGGCCTGGTCCTCGGGGCCGGCGCCTGCTACTGCATTTATAAGCTGACGCGGGGCCAGCGGCAAGGCGGCCGTGGGCTTTGGCTGCGCCCCTCGCGCTCCGCAGAAGACTTAACCAATATGATGATGTCCTAAACGTTGACCAGCTCCAGAAACTCCTCTACCTGCTTGAGTCAATTGATGATCCTGTAATTACTGAAAGACCTTTGGTCACTCTGGGTAACAATGCAGCCTTTTCAGCCTACCAAGTCATTATTCGTGAATTGGGTGGTATTCCAATCATTGGAGGCAAAATCAATAATCCCAACCACAGTATTAAAGAGAAAGCTCTAAATGCATTGAATAACCTGAGTGTGAATGTTGACAATCAAGTCAAGATAAAGGCTTACATCAGTCAAGTCTGCAAGGATGTCCTCTCTGGGCCCCTAGACTCTGCTGTACAGCTGGCTGGGCTGAGATTGTTGACCAACATGACAGTTACCAATGACCACCAGCACATGCTTAGCAAGTACATCACAGACCTGTTCCACGTGCTGCTTACAGGGAATGGAAGTACCAAGGTTCAAGTTTTGAAACTGCTTGTGAATTTGTCTAAAAATCCAGCCATGGCAGACGGACTACTTGGTGCCCAAGTGGACTCCTCATTCCTTTCCCTTTATGACAGCCACGTGGCAAAGGAGATTCTTCTTCGAGTTCTTACACTCTCTCAGAATATAAATAACTGCCTCGAAAAAGAAGGCTGTTTAGCTATTCAGCCTACTTTCCCTAAAGGTTCCCTGTTTTTCCTGTTATATGGAGAAGAATGTGCCCAGAAAATGAGAGCTTTAGCTGAACACCATGATGCAGATGTGAAGGAAAAGGTAACAGTCCTACCCAAGTTCTGATTGGTCCCGGTTTTCATCTTCCCTCTTACTAAGGGAGCTGAAATTCGTCCAGCTGCTGAATCTAAACAGTGAATATCACATTTCATCATTAACACAGCTAGACCCTGCCATGGTCTTCTGGTTTATTTTGAACCACTTTATTGATATCAAATGAATAGAAGACCTTGTTCTGACACCATTTCTTTTCATTTTGCCATTTGCTGAGTTTACTTCAATTACTTCCTCAACATGACAGGACAGTTGCCTTCTTTATGTGTAAGCTAACCTTGCACCCGTCTGAGACATTTGTGTGTGACTGGCTAGTTGGTTCAGGGCTGCTGCAGGAACGACCTTGTCCTTGTGCTAGTGAAGAGTTCCTGAGTCTTCGAGGCCACCGACCAGGCCAGCCATACCGCTCCCAGAGGTCTAATCCCTGTCCTCCCAACTCCCACCGGGTGTGCCAGCCTGTGAAGATGCAGTGTGTGGCGGGCTGGGATCGATCGGAATGTCCATCCGTAAGCAACTGGTTAAATCCGTTTATCTCATCTTAAAAGAAACAAGGAAATCTGAACATGCTCATGTGGAAAGGCATCCAGAAAATGTGGATGTGTTTTTTAAATGAAAACTATGCTTCTATCGAGAGAATAGTTTCTAGAACCATACCCAGATTCCTGGGAGTGGGACTGAGGAAAGGACTTTTCTATGTATACCTTCTAGCATTTGAATTTTTTAACCATCAGCATAAATTTTATAATTTTTTAAATAAAAAGGAAAAAACAAGGTTATAAAAAAAAGTGTCTGTCATAAAAAAACAAGAAAAGACAAAAAAAGCCACAGACTGTAGGAAACTAAGGAGACATGGTGAATAAATAAAATATGAAATCTTAGAATGCATCCTGAATGGAAAAATGACATTGACAGGAAGACTGGTGAAATTCAAATAAAGTCTACAGCTTGGTTAATAGTAATGTACCAATGTTAATTTTTTAGTTTTGATAAATTCACCATGGTTATATAAGGTGTTAACATGAGGGGAAGCTAGGTGAAAGGTATACAAGAACTTTCTCTACTATTTTTACTATTTTTTTATAAATGTAAAATTATTTCAAAATAAAAAGCTAAAATAAGGAAGGGAACAGGCAAAAGAAGGACCACTTTACTAGCAGTTAGAGATTCAGGTGAGAAGCATAAAGATCTCTAAGACAGATGAAAGAGTGTTTAAATCAACACACACACACACATCATAAGTCTGTCTAGAGTTATGAAGTTTCTGTTCTGCAAACTTCTGAAATAGACTTTTAGAGGCTGTTAGGCCTGCTAGACTCTCTTTTTCCAGTTCTATAACTATCATCATTATGCTTCTTCCTGTAGTGTTTTAGTCAAAGACAAAATCAAATGAAAAAACAGACAACAAAGTGCAGTCCCAACAACATCCCCCTCCCAACCCACTCCTGATGATTATCAAGCTGCTTCACATTCTTTTAGACTTTGAATGTGCATACTGGCTTTCTGAGTTCTAAGAGGCATTAGATCTTCCTGAAAATCCTAAAGGCAGTTGTAAGAAAAAGAGGTATATTATAGACTCTCCCAATGAAGTGTGTTTTGCTTCATTTAAGACGCTTTGGAAATTAAAGTTGTTGTAAGAGGTAATGCTCTGAAGAAAAATAAAAGGTTGGCCTATAGCTGATATTCCACAGTAGCTGCGTGGCCATCTGGTTTGGTTTTGAATCATCCTTATTGATCCGCAGGAAAATGAAATACTGAAATCACCATGTAGCTTTAAATTCCAGATCCATGTCAGCTTTGCCGAGTGCTGCCCCATCTGTAGAAGGGAACAGCATGCAGGCAGCCTGGCTCCAGCCTGACTCAAGCTGTAGCATGTTTGCCTGTGTCTGTTATTGACAGTTCCATTACCAGCTTGTTTTGTTAAGTCAGATTGCAACCTTTAATGTAGCCCATGTTTTTCATGGCACAGGTCTTTTGAACAGGAAATTATTACATAAGTAACAGCCAAGACAACATTAATTATTCTTGTCTCAGGAACTTATTAACTAGTGACCAAACCTTCAATAAACCATTCCCAAAGCCTCAGCTTGCCTGCAGCTTTATGGGTGACTGAAATATTTTCCCACTGGCTTCCTCTTGACCTCTGATCTCCTTAGCATGAATACCAAGTATAAGCTCTTAATTTCCAAATAATGGATTTTCAGTCCCCTCCATTTTTAAAAGGGCAGAGAGCAGCCCAACTTTTAGAACGGAGAGGCATTGCTGTGCCTACTTAAAGAAAAGCAGTTTGAATTGCCACATGAAACAGAAACCTTTAAACTTCATTTATGCAAGACAGCAAGAAGCTTTGTGGATTTTAATAAGGGCCTTTTTTCCACTAATTTTAATAAACTTTTGACAAATTCTTCTTACTGCTTCTGTCCTACTTCAGAGCCCCTTATTAATTTTTTCCACTTTTCACACTAAGATTTATTAAAAAAAAAGTCATCAGGAGGACCACCTTCCCATCTCAATTCAATTCCTGGATGTCCCAGTCTAAAGCTTGCATAACCAGCAAATAAGCATCAAGCGACCCAGATGTGTAAGACACTGAGCTCAGTGCTAGGGATACCAAAACTTTAAAGTAGAAGTGAGGTATACTTAAGGATTAAGAAAGAAAAAGAACTATGACTTAGCTCATAGTGCTTCATTATGGATCCTAAAACAGGCCTAACTTACAGGCTGAGGCATCATTTCTCATTCTAACAGAGTACAGGTTAAAAGCCCTCAGAGAAGACAATGCTACATAGAAATACTTGAAGCCCAGACTTTAACTTACTATGAAGTTAATTCAAAAATAATTTAGAAGAGCCTGAAGAGGTAGTAGCAAAGAACTTGGGCTTTATAGTGAGACAGACCTGAATATTTTTATCCTGGCATTGACACTCCCCAGCTGTGTAATCATAGACAAGTCAGTTAGCCTTTCTGAGTTTGTTTCCTCAATAGGGATAATCACTGTTACCTATCTCATGATGTTTGTTGTAAAGAAAAATGAAATAATCAATGTAAAGTACGTGGCATGCTGTTGGGCATCTACTACTGCTCACTAAATGTGTTTATTTTTATTACTAACATTTTAATTATTATTAACATTAGAATCATCATTTGCATTATTTAACCAGCCTCAAAAATAGATTCTAGCTATTGTAGCACAAATAATAAAATAAACAACATCCATGTTTGTTGTAATTTTCAGTTGAGACTAGGCCATAGAAAAGAATAATTAACAAAAAAAGGAATGTGACAAACAATTGTAGCATTACACTTTACTGTCAACTGATCTGAATTCACATCCTGACTTGACCACTTATTAACCAGCAGTATGACCTAGCAAATTATTTAACTTTGCTGAGCCTCAGTTTTCTCACTTACACAGTGAGAGTAATAATATTCCTTCACACAGTTTGTAAGATAATACTATATATGTAAGCCATTTGGCATAAAGCCCAGTATAGAGTAGGCATGCAGTAAATGTTATTTCCCTACAATTCCCTATACTATATCACCAGCACTGTCAAATCTTTTCCACTCTCCTTTTCCCTTCACACCTCCAGATATTGTAGTGATACTAGAAATTTCAGCATTCAAGGTTTCAACTTTATAATTCAATTGAGAAATTTATATAGACTATATATACATAGTCTTACATAGACTATAAATACATATATGTCCTTCATTCCAGGGGGTTTACCATTTTCAGAAGGTTCAAATTGATAAATTATATTTCAGGAAGACCATATAAATCCAGCTCAATCATCAAGAATGCAAGAGGTAAAAGGTAAGTTTTTAAAAAGTTATATATATAATTCTCCCAGGAAAATTTGGGTTGTGATCTTACCTGGCCTCATTAGCTAAAGAGAATTAGGATCAGCCAGTGCTTGAAGATCACAGTAAACATAATGAAAAATTCATTGAGTTAGAAGGCAGCAACTTTCTAATTCCATTTGAGAATGTGAACTCAGGTAACATCCCAGCATGGTTCTATGGATGGTATTATAGGCTAGAGCTCACCTACAAGTTTTACAACCATTTGACTCAATGAAGATAACACTGGAAGATGTAAAATAACAAATACAAATGCCAATATTCTAGTAGGAGGTAGTTATTACCCCCATTTCTGCTTCTCTATTTTTTCTTTTCTTCGTTCCTCATAACTAAGTTCAGTAGCGACTCAAATTGCAAATCCAAACTGTTGCCAGCTTCTGAGCCAATTCAAATTGAAGAGAGTATCAGCAGATTCAGTCTCACCATTCAGTTTAGTTTGGTTTTAGATCTGCCTCCCTGAGATTTAGTAGCTCAGTAAAGATCACCAAGGCTTCTGCATTTTCTCCTAAGTCCTTTTGCTACCAACCAACAATAAAAATCAGTAGTAGTTAGAAGTTATATGCATGAATTCTTAAACTAGACTGCAAGAGTTCAACTGCTAGGGGCACCTGGGTGGCTCAGTTGGTTAAGTGACTGCTTTCAGCTCAAGTCATGATCCCAGGGTCCTGGGATGAACCCTGCTTTGGGCTTCCCCACTCAGCAGGGAGCCTGCTTCACCCTCTCCCTCTGCCTCTGCCTCTCCCCTGTTGGTGCTCTCTCTCACACACTCTCTTTCTCTCTCTCTCAAATAAAATAAAATCTTTAAAAAAAAGAGTGCAAATGTTAGTTCTGTCAATTACTGGCTGTGTGGCTTTGGGCAAATTATTTCACTTGTAGTTTTCAGTTTCATCATCTATAAAATGGGGATAATGATAGTATCTAACTCATTAACTTCTTGAGAGAATTAAAGGTGAGAAAGCTTATAAAGTTCTTAGTGTTTGGCACATAATGAGCACTTCAAGTTCATGTTCATGTTTTTAAAAAGCCCAGACCCATTTCACCAAGAAAATGTTTTCCCTTCTCTTTTTTGATATGCAGTTCTTCTTTAAATCTTTCCCTTCAAACCCCACACTCATGTTGATCTCATTCACTAAGTCTCTGTCTAAGCTACTACACCAATCTG